CCTTTTTATTCCCACAAAACATACATGAAGATTTAAATTGACCAAACTCTTATTAATACATTAGTGTAAAATGTTCTTTCCCATGGCTGGCCTTTGTTAAATTAAATTAAAAGTATGTTATTGACTTTGAAAGGTAAATGACATTTGTATTTAACTGCTCATTACATGCCCGAGGATGATTTCCGTGCCGTTTTGAATTAGTTCATATGGAGTGACACGTTCAAAACCATTTCGGTCAGGGGATTGCCCGGTCTTTGAGCTATTTGCTGTCTGGCGCAATGGTGCGTCGGCAATTTGGCCATACAACTGTCATACATTGATGCTGTGTTTAATTTGGAAGTGCTGAACAAGTTGTAGTGTGACGCCGTGAAGTAGCAACTTGGAGCACGCATGCTCCTCTGGCAAAACACCTGACGCTGCGCAGCATCTTCTTTTTGGAACCAAAATAGTTCCACACCACCACGTGCTGCTTCCTCTTGAGACTAAAGTCTCAGCCTGTGTCAGTTCTACTGTTCCGTCGAGCCAGAGGCCATTGCGCAACAGGTTAAAGGGCAGCATGAAAAGTTGATGCAGCCGAGTTCTCCACTCTTTCGCTCGCGTCACGTGACCACCTTGTAATCGCGCACGTTGCGGCTAGAAATGCAATTAATCATTCAGCCCTAGATGACACAGGGACATAGAGTCATCCCATTGCTGGAAAACATGTGTTAGAAGTGGTTCTTCCGTGAAAAGGGGGTTTTACAGGTGACCTGGTGACATATTATGTTTTAATATGTAAGCAGCAGAAGTTGGCAGTCAACACTGAACTTCAATCATGTGTTTATGTGCACTTAAGTCATCTGTTTATTCACAGATTTTGGCAGTAACATGATTTCTAAGACGTGTAAACAGAAACCTGGTTTCCTCTTAAAAGGTTAAAAGGGATTAAGAGGATCACAGGTAACACAGCTAGATTTATAAAACCTGGCGGCATGGCCATGTATACGATTAACCAGATTTCCAAGGCTTTTTTACATGCATGTGTATGATATAGACCCAGAAAAAGTAAAGCATTGCTTTGGCAAGGTTGCAGTCGGATGAAAGCCAAGATTACTACTTGTTGCTGTGCATTCTTGTACCCCAAAAGATTCAATCCAAAGTCTGACAAAACTGAAACAAAGTACACTGGAAGACTCAAACATTCAATAAGCTGGTTTCCAGACTATTTGTACAATTTCAAAAACACCAGAGTGTGTCCCCTCACTGTGTTTTAGCAAAGCACATTACATACAGTTTCACCACTTAACATGTTTCTAACATCTCTGTCTATAACACATGAACTTATAATACACTTCAAATGGTTCAAAAATACGGTAAGTGATAAAATTAGATTACAGACCAACTGCATTAACCACTTTGTATAGTGCACATGTATACACATTAACCACAATATATTCTTGCTTTAACCTAGTTCTCACAACATTTTGTCTTAAGAGCATGTAAAAATAGCCAATGATTCACCAGGTACTATGGCTTATATCCCATAATGCCTGGCACGCTATGGTGGACAGTTTTACAATCCCCCAGACCCAAACTACAACCAGCATCAATACACACATTTACACAGAACTCCCGTGAACTCCACGAACTGTCTTTCCTATCAAAAGAAAAAAACACTTTGAGTCAGAAGGAGAAAAGGGCAAACCTCCACTCCCCTATCCACAGTTTACAGAGAGCTCTGGGCAGGCAGGGTGAGCAGGGTGAAGGAGGGGGAGAAACGTCTGCTATAAAAGAATGATGCAGATACTTAGTAGGAAGTAAAAAATAAATATATTGCTGCCTGACAGAAGAGTGTTTACTAGAATTTGTATCTGTGTTTCATAATGTTCTGATGAAGAGCTCGACTGGTGCTGATGACAGCACATGCTCCCTTAGAAATAGCCAGCAACAAGAGGTGAAATATTTGTTAGCATGGTGTGGGGTGCTTTTGTATGTCTCTTTTACACTGATTTGAAGGGAGTTGCTGTGTAATGGTAAAATACAAACCAGTTGACCTTTTAATTACCCATGGGGGACTAAGGTGTGCAGCCAACTCTAGCTGGTTTAATACTCTTCATGGGTTTGTGCGTTTCTATTGCGAGTAGGGTATATCCTGCCTGGAGGGGAATGTAAATAACAATTAACCTCAACATGAGCCCTGACCTCAAAATTAACCTTGTGTGGGTAGTGTGGGGTCTGCTCATTTTTGTCTTTCGTGAGGAAATGTATATGAAATGGAGATCAAACCCACATTAAAGCTTAACTATGGAAATCTTTAAAATTCAAATAAAACTGACAGCCTGCTTGGCATGTCGGTATTATGCATGACTGCATAAAGGTAATTCAAAGATTAACATACTAGTAGTGATTTGTGCGAGGCATCTGGTGCAATTGCTGGTAAAGTATTTACTCAGAAACAAAACGATTAAATAGATTTATTTATGCTACGGCAGTTTAGTTGGGAAAGGCAAGGGGATTCGTCAAGTAGGGAGCTCTTTGAAGTGAAGAGAAAACTGCAGAAATCTTCTCAGCAGCTGCTCTCTCCCCCTGCGCAGGTTAGGTAGAACCCTAAGTCTTTGAAATGACTCCATCAGCCCATAGAAGCAAGCCAAAAGTATCTTTGGCACTCTATATCTTATTTTCATATTGTTGGCACTTCAGGGAAGCCCTCAAGGTTTAGTCGAAAACATTAAGAAGACTTTCATCATGACGTGTTTGAAATTCTGTGTAACTTAAATTTCACAAATTTGCGTGCCACTCCAGAGTATCTCCAGAAGGACTCTCGAGCTGGCCAGAACATTGCAAAAAACAGTTTGAGGAATTGTCATCAATAGGTTTTCTGGGTAAGGTGAAGCATACCTGAACAGTCATCAAATGACATCTGTCTGTCTACTCTATCTACCCTAGTGTAACTAAAAGGTTGGCTAAATGAGATGTAAAAGTAAACCTCTCTTGCTTAATGACATTGAATTAATCTTTGCATCAGTTTGTCACATTGTTTATCATGGACTGCCAAAAGAAACTTTTTTCACTCCATGTCTGCACAGACTCCAAAAGTAGAAGCCATTTCTACTTGTGCAGCACGTCTTGAATCATTAATCAGTACATTGAACATGCTTTAATCACCTGTGCCATAATACAGTTCTGACTTTAAATAAATGACATGCCAAATGAGTACCATAGCAAACAGGCTACAAAGTCATAATTCTTAAGCACCATAGGCAGCCACATTGACCCTTAACCTTCTCTAGCTTTCAAAGTGACTGCCTGTGAATAAATCATTGGGTTTATTAGACTGGGCTATTATTATTATTATTATTATTATTATACTTTCTGTGATGTTCACTTTAGAGTTGCATCAATTAGTTGATTAATTGATTATTCAACTATTAAATGAATCAGTTACTATTTACAACTATTTTGATAATTGTTTTTCAGTAACTTTTTTTATGTCCAAATTCTCTGATTTCAGCTTATCAAATATTAATATTTTCTGGTTCTTTAGTCCTCTATGACAATAAACTGAATATTTTTGGATTGTGGGGAAAAAACAAGACATTTGAAGACATCACCTTGGGCTTTTGGAAACACTGATCAACATTTTTCACCAGTTTCTGACACAAACAACTAATTGTTTAATCAATAAAACGATTGACAGATTAATCCTTAATGAAAATAATTGTTGGTTGTATTGTAGTCCAACATCCTGTTTGCTACCTCTGTGTCCAATCTCAATACATTGCAAATAGTTTTAAAAATCATGCTTATGTTTTCAAAAAGCTAATGTGAAGGCTAATTTATCCACAGAATTATGTTAATGTAAGCTGACCATAGCTTTTAACCATTCAAGGTTAAAAGCAAACCATGCTAAGCTATTTAGCATCTTAGGAAGTTTACCTCATACCTCATCATGGCATACTCAGTACATCCCCAGCATTAGCACTGTTGCTTCTTATTGGCTGAACTTGTTTACCCCTGGGTGCTTAGGGTTGACATCTGCAGCAAAGGCTGAGTTAATGTAGCCACTAATGGCCCCTTTCCATACACATGTGCTGGCTTAGCTTGACTCAGTTTGGCTCGGCACATCAGCCAACACTGCAGAGATTTGCATCTCAATTAGGGCTACCCGCTTGAAGGTTTGTCTTTAAAGGCAGCGGCGGTTACGTTTTAAAGCACAAATAAAGATGGCCACACCTCCGCACAACCCTGCGTTAAGATGCCACATTGCCAATTTTTTAAAATTCAAACAGGCTCACAGGCCTGCAGCCCTTTATTTGACGTCATCGCAACTTGCTTGGAGACTCCGGAGATGGTCTATCTCGGGCGACTCAGCATAGCTTGGCACGTTTAAATTGGTAATGGAAATGCAAATCAATGCAGCAAGGTTTGACTCCGCACGGCCAAAAGTGCCAATCGAAAAGGCCTATGAAATAAACTGCAAAAAGCACCTGGTAGTGGTGGATCACATGCAAACAAATAATGCTTCTAATAACAAAACTTATCTCTGTGCATTTTGAACAGCAATTCTATTGTCAGCAGTTGTGTTAGTATTACAGTACACCCTGAATTACAGTACATATGCACTCTTTGTTAAAGAGATCACACAGGCCTGCTTGTACTGTACACTGAAATGAAGACCCTCCTCCAGTTAGTTCAATGGACAGAAGTCATCAGCTTTCATTGGGTACCCTGTTGCATAAGCTTTGTTGGAGAAGCCCATGAGCATGCAACCAACTCTGGTATGACCAAACGATTGGACATGGATAGTGCTGCACGAGTGTTTATTTTCATTTGTTTTATGGACATTTATTCCAAACAGTGTAATTGTGTGACAATGTCTGCCGCTTACTGAAACTCTGTTTTCTGGGAAGATGCTGAGTCATTTTTTTTTCTTTTGGCCTCATTCTTCCATGCTGTGTGAGGTAAAATTATCATTTTGGGGAAAACATTAACACTGTTTCTTGTTTATAACTTGGGTCTAGCCTTTTGGAGGGGATGGCTGGTGTGACACCATCAACAACCGGGCCTACTGCCAGTATGACGGAGGAGACTGCTGCCCGTCCACACTCTCCACCAGAAAGGTACACAAACCTCTTGTCTGTCATATTTACATGGGAAGAGAAAGATTAATTTTCATCACTTTCATACCATGTGTTTTTGTTGTAATACAAATATTTGGGGTGGTATTCTTTTAACAGATATATTATAACTTACCATTTCTGTCTACTTTGTTTAAAAAGGTGGCAAATTGTTGTTTGGCTCCCTTCAGGCTCACATCTTGCAATCAAGATGGAGCTTAGCTGAAGCTGGATTCAAAGCCAGATTCTTCCTGTTTACAGTAGTAGAAATCCGTCTCTTTTGGCATGAGCGCTGTGCCGCTACGCAGGAGACTTTTGCTAAGCAAACAAACACAGATCCCTGCTACTTTCCCCTCTCTCCTGTTAACGACTGCGCCTATTTAGTCTCCCTCATCTGTACTTGAAACAACAGAGGAGACTTGTGCCCTCCAGCTTTTCCACTCAAATGGTAAATAAGCAGGTTTTCACCACCCCATGCTGCTATACACTTTCTCACCTCTCATATTAAGCCACTGTTCAACTGCAGAAGGAACTAGTCTTGGTTCAGGACATCACTTAGACCAGTGGTTCCTTTTTCCTTAAGGGATTCCTTTTTTATTGTGGAGTGAACTGAAAACCCCTGTCTAAGTAACATACTTTATGGATATTTCATATCATATTCAGTGAATAATAATAATGGTACAGACCAACTGATAAACTGTACACGAATAGAACACAATAACTGCAGGATGTTTGTGTAAAATAAGCATTTGGATACATTTTGAATATTGCATCACAGAGTTTTTTGGATACTTTTAGTAACTTTTTATGCAATTCACTGTCTGCATCATGTATTCTCCCATTGTACTATTAGCTCTTTGGATGGTTTTCTAATGCAGGATGAGAGTGAAGGCTCTGTGAAATATCGCTTGTGTTCAGGTCTTCACTGTGCTCTTATCATGTGAGATTTTTTAAAAGTTTATATCCTAAATAATAATCTAAACTTTAAAAATAAAAAAATAATTTTGTTTTCTTCACAGACAACATGCATGAATGCGAGATATAATGATCCTGCTCCTATAGTCCACTGTGTTTCTCACACAAAATCAAAAAGGCCTCACAATGGGGGCGCCCTTTGCTGCGTGTCATCCCCTCTCTAACCTACCCCCTTTCCC